ACTCTACACCCAAGTTTACCTTCACTACCACTGCTGGGGGTTGGTCACTCTACACCAAGTTTACCTTCACGGCTACTGCTACTGCTGGCTCACTGTACACCCAAGTTTACCTTCACGGCTACTGCTGGTGGTGGCTCATTGTACACCCAAGTTTACCGTCACTACCACTGCTGGTGGTTGGTCACTATACGAGGAAAAAAATCGAAATATTTTGGCAAGGAAGCGTTTCTTTAAGTTTGGGTTAATATGAGAGTAGGCTAGTTTTTTAATTTAGTTCATTTATTATGCACCCCATACCCATCTTGTGGGCGGTAGTGGAAAGGGTTACAGAGGCACATAATGGGCTCAGGGACTGAACCCCACAATTCATTTAGCTAAGCAAGTTACAATCTTGGTGTAACTGGGAAATTCTCATTACCTGCTGATGTAGATCTGACCAAATGTAAACTGTGTCAACAAAATTATTCGCACACCCTCCGTCACTATGTGATGGAGTGCGAAAAGATACGTGAATTCAGAGACAATTCTATTACAAAATGTTGGAGAGATGTGTAAATATTTCATTCAAAATTATCTACTACCATGTGTACTCATGTCGGAAGACCTTACCTTTAAAGAACACAATAAAGTTGCCGTCACAACTGCAAGAAAAATGACAGGTTGGATAACAAGAACTTTTCACACTAGAGATGCTATACCGATGATGATACTTTTCAAGACGCTTGTGCTCTCTAGAGTGGAGTACTGCTGCACAATGACAGCACCTTTCAAAGCTGGAGAAATTGCTGACCTGGAGAGCGTGCAGAGATCCTTTACTGCTAGAATCCACTCAGTAAAACATCTAAACTATTGGGGCCGACTAAAGAGCCTAAAACTGTACTCCCTTGAGCGCAGGCGGGAGAGATACATAATAATTTACACGTGGAAAATATTAGAGGGGCTGGTCCCAAACCTGCACACAGAAATAACATCACATGAGACCAGAAGACATGGCAGGATGTGCAGAATACCCCCGTTGAAAAACAGAGGTGCAACAGGTACTCTGAGAGAGAACTCAACATCAGAGGTCCGAGACTGTTCAACACGCTTCCACTACACATAAGGGGCATAACTGGTCGACCCCTCACAGTGTTCAAGAGAGAACTATCAACATCAGAGGCCCGAGACTGTAATCTGTAATCTCACTCCCTGTAATCTACCTCACTCCTCTATTGTCAACCCATGTCTGTTATTTTCTTTTTTTTTTCTTTTTTTGTAATCAACACTGTTTGTCAACCTATTGTATTTGTGCTGCTTTTTCAGTCATGTTCCCCCTTTTTTTTTTATCTTTATTTGTATTTGTTCTCAACATCTTTTATTCTTTATGCTCAATTAGTATTAAGTTCTAGATATTAATGTTTTTCTTGCCCGAAACGCATTGCGTAATAGTGGCTTTAGGCATTGTATGTACTAGCTCTATCTATATATCAATCCATTAATGTAACATCACTTGTATGTATATACCTTACCTGAATAAACATCTGAATCTGAATCTGAATCTGAGACTGTTCAACACGCTTCCACTACACATAAGGGACATAACTGGCCGACCCCTCACAGTGTTCAAGAGAGAACTATCAACATCAGAGGCCCGAGACTGTTCAACACGCTTCCACTACACATAAGGGACATAACTGGTCGACCCCTCACAGTGTTCAAGAGAGAACTATCAAGATCAGAGGCCCGAGACTGTTCAACACGCTTCCACTACACATAAGGGGCATAACTGGTCGACCCCTTACAGTGTTCAAGAGAGAACTGGATAAGCACCTCCAAAGGATACCTGATCAACCAGGCTGTGACTCATACGTCAGGCTGCGAGCAGCCGCGTCTAACAGCCTGGTTGATCAGTCCGGCAACCAGGAGGCCTGGTCGACGACCGGGCTGCGGGGACACTAAGCCCCGGAAGCACCTCAAGGTAACCTCAAGGTAGGTAAGGTACCAGAAATCTTAGCTAAATATCCCCAGTTTGCTAACTGTAGGTAGTAGCTGAGTGATTGTAACCTATCCACGGCTTGGGGTGAGGTGATACAGGAAGGACATGATTGAGATGAACAAGTTGATCAATGGCATAATGGGTATTAATAGGCATAGAACATTGCATGTTCTATGTTCTTCCTTCTACTGTTTATGTGTTGGTTCGGGGTCTTGAAGTGGGTAGAATGTAATTATGTGTTAATTGGCTGTTGATTGATGGTTTTGCCGTTTTGATGTGTAGGGCCTCGCTGATGTCGAGTCTCCTGTTGTAGCTGTATCTGTCGATGATTTCTGTGTTGTTTGTTAAGACTTCTCTGGTGATGGTCTGGTTGTGTGAGGAGATTAAAGGCTCCTTGATGGAGCCCTGTTGCTTGTGCATTGTTAATTGCATGGAGAGAGACGTTGTCTTGCCTATATACTGAGATCTTTAATTGGGGCTGACAGTCCCCAAGTGGGCATGTGAAAGCATAGACAACATTGGCCTCTTTTAAGGCGTTCTGTTTGGTGTCTGGAGAGTTCTTCATGAGTAGGTTGGCCGTTTCCTTGTTTTTGTAGTAAATTGTTAATTGTATCTTCTGATTTGTGTCTGTGGGGATAACGTTCCTATCAATAATATCTTTCAGGACACTTTCCTCCGTTTTATGAGCCATCGAAAAGAAGATCCTGTAAAACAGTCTAATAGGAAGTACAAGTGTTGTGTTAGTTGACTCTTCAGAGGTTGCATGGCGTGTCACCTTTCTTTTAATGACGTCTTCAACATAACCGTTAGAGAAGTCATTATTGACTAGGACCTGCCTAATTCTACAGAGTTCCTTGTCGACCTGCTTCCAACCAGAGCTGTGGGTGAGAGTTCGCTCGACGTAAGCGTTGACAACACTCCGCTTGTACCTATCCGTGCAGTCACTGTTGGCATTAAGACACATTCCTATGTTCGTTTCCTTAGTGTAGACTGCAGTGTGGAAGCCACCATTCCTTTCCGCGACTGTTACACTTTTGGAAAGGGCAGCTTCCCATCACCCTCCACCTTGTAAGTGAAACTTAACGTCCTAGATTCAGATTCAGATGTTTATTCAGGTAAGGTATATACATACAAGTGATGTTACATTAATGGATTGATATATAGATAGAGCTAGTACATACAATGCCTAAAGCCACTATTACGCAATGCGTTTCGGGCAAGAAAAACATTAATATCTAGAACTTAATACTAATTGAGCATAAAGAATAAAAAGTGTTGAGAACAAATACAAATAAAGATAAAAAAAGGGGGAACATGACTGAAAAAGCAGCACAAATGTGAGTTTTCAGTTGCATATATGCCTGGAGACCGTTACATTCATACTCCCAGGAGCAACGCAACTGGTAACTACAGGACGCCTTAATTCGCTTGACCATCCGCTGGGTGTATGGGTTCGAGTCACTTCTGGGGTGTGAGTTTTCAGTCGCATATAGTCCTGGGGACCATTCAGGCTTGTTCGCATTTGTGTTCCTCACGTGTGCCCCAAAGAATAAGGTGATTTGATAAAATGCTATGCCCAAGATTACCATCCGAGTGCCGGCGGGGAAGTGGTTCAAATAGCTTCGGCTATCACTTCCTTATTGTCCGGTCGTCATGGTCAAGCGGATTAAGGCGTCCTGTAGTTACCAGTTGCGTTGCTCCTGGGAGTATGGGTTCGAGTCACTTCTAGGGTGTGAGTTTTCAGTCATATATATATATATATATATATATGTCTTGAAAGTAGCCTTGTTAAGATTTGTTAATGCTGTTCTTTACGTTAATCAACCTCAAGTATACCAGTAACATTATATTTATTATCCCAATTTCATCCACTCAACTCAAAGCCATCTTCCCGTTTCTTGCGTGTTTCCCCTTCATAATGTGTACCCATGTTCCTTCTTCATTAACTTGCACTTGTCTGGGTTGAACTCTAATATCTGATTTACCTCCCTCATTAACTTTATAGCCCTCAGTCCTCCCTGGTATGGGAGTCGTCTTAATTCTGGGATGACTTTTGTCGCCCGGTGTTGAACGTTCTCCAGACCACCTTTATGTCTTTCTGAAGATGAGGTCTCCATGCTTAGACACAGTAATCCAAGTGGGAGCACACCAGAGATTTATACAGCTCTGTATAAATGTATACCACACTGGTTATACCAGTGTATACCACACTGGTTATACCAGTGTGGTATACCACACTGGTTATACCAGTGTGGTATACCACACTGGTATATACCACCACTTTCTTACATTCTTTTCACTGACGTCAAAACTTACTGCTCACTGGCTGAGTATGCGGTATGAGTACTGGATGAGTATGAGTATTCTGCTTACACTATGAGTGAGGTTATGCCTCACTGGTGAGAGTGAGGTTATACCACACTGGTGAGCGTGTGAGTGAGGTTATGCCTCACTGGTGAGCGTGTGAGAGTGAGGTTATACCACAATGGTGAGCGTGTGAGAGTGAGGTTATACCACACTGGTGAGCGTGTGAGAGTGAGGTTATACCACACTGGTGAGCGTGTGAGAGTGAGGTTATACCACACTGGTGAGCGTGTGAGAGTGAGGTTATACCACACTGGTGAGCGTGTGAGAGTGAGGTTATACCACACTAGTGAGCGTGTGAGAGTGAGGTTATACCACACTGGTGAGCGTGTGAGAGTGAGGTTATACCACACTGGTGAGCGTGTGAGAGTGAGGTTATACCACACTAGTGAGCGTGTGAGAGTAAGGTTATACCACACTGGTGAGCGTGTGAGAGTGAGGTTATACCACACTAGTGAGCGTGTGAAAGTAAGGTTATACCACACTGGTGAGCATGAGGTGCGCTCCGTGATGCTCATCTGGCTGCTGCCATGTGTACCTCTCACCACCTACGTGGACCGTTTCTCACCACTCTTACGCATCTAGATTTATACCTTCAAGAAATATTAACCCTTTTAATAATTAAACATCATTAAATAAGTCAATAAATATAGGAATTCCTAGAAATAAGGACTAAGAAGGAATTGTTATGTTGTGAATGTGGCAACGTTGTTTGTGTTGTGGGAGAGATGAGCAGGAGTGCGGCCGCTCGTCTCTCACTCTCACTCACTCAACATGGCCAAGAACAACCTCAGAGACAAGCTCGACGGCAACGAGCTCGACCTCAGCATGATGAGCCTCGCTGAGGTCCCCGTCAAGGAGATAGTGAGTCTTGAGACGAGTTTCTCACAGGTGTTTTGCTCCTTCACTCTGAGGCCAGAGAAAGTTCCTTCCTCCCTTCCTCTGGCTCCTGCTGTGTCAGGTGGCTCCTGCTGCTGCTGCTGTGTCAGATGGCTCGTGCTGCTGCTGTGTCAGGTGGCTCGTGCTGCTGCTGTGTCAGGTGGCTCCTGCTGTTGCTGTGTCAGGTGGCTCCTGCTGCTGCTGTGTCAGGTGGCTCCTGCTGCTGCTGCTGTGTCAGATGGCTCGTGCTGCTGCTGTGTCAGGTGGCTCGTGCTGCTGCTGTGTCAGGTGGCTCGTGCTGCTGCTGTGTCAGGTGGCTCCTGCTGTTGCTGTGTCAGGTGGCTCCTGCTGCTGCTGTGTCAGGTGGCTCCTGCTGCTGTGTCGGGTGGCTCCTGCTGTGTCGGGTGGCTCCTGCTGCTGCTGCTGTGTCAGGTGGCTCCTGCTGTTGCTGTGTCAGGTGGCTCCTGCTGCTGCTGTGTCAGGTGGCTCCTGATGCTGCTGCTGTGTCAGGTGGCTCCTGCTGCTGTGTCAGTTGGCTCCTGATGCTGCTGCTGTGTCAGGTGGCTCCTGCTGCTGTGTCAGGTGGCTCCTGCTGCTGTGTCAGGTGGCTCCTGCTGCTGTGTCAGGTGGCTCCTGCTGCTGCTGCTGTGTCAGGTGGCTCCTGCTGCTGCTGCTGTGTCAGGTGGCTCCTGATGCTGTTGCTGTGTCTGGTGGCTCCTGATGCTGCTGCTGTGTCAGGTGGCTCCTGATGCTGCTGCTGTGTCAGGTGGCTTCTGCTGTGTCAGGTGGCTCCTGATGCTGCTGCTGTGTGTGTCAGGTGGCTCCTGCTGCTGCTGCTGTGTCAGGTGGCTGCTGCTGTGTGTGTCAGGTGGCTCCTGATGCTGCTGCTGTGTGTGTCAGGTGGCTTCTGCTGTGTCAGGTGGCTCCTGCTGCTGTGTGTGTCAGGTGGCTTCTGCTGTGTCAGGTGGCTCCTGCTGCTGTGTGTGTCAGGTGGCTGCTGCTGTGTCAGGTGGCTCCTGATGCTGCTGCTGTGTCAGGTGGCTCCTGCTGCTGCTGCTGTGTCAGGTGGCTCCTGATGCTGCTGCTGTGTGTGTCAGGTGGCTCCTGATGCTGCTGCTGTGTGTGTCAGGTGGCACATGCTGTGTGTGTGTCAGGTGGCACATGCTGTGTGTGTCAGGTGGCACATGCTGTTGTGTGTGTCAGGTGGCACATGCTGTGTGTGTGTCAGGTGGCACATGCTGTGTGTGTGTGTCAGGTGGCACATGCTGTGTGTGTGTCAGGTGGCTCCTGATGCTGCTGCTGTGTGTGTCAGGTGGCTCCTGATGCTGCTGCTGTGTGTGTCAGGTGGCTCCTGATGCTGCTGCTGTGTGTGTCAGGTGGCTCCTGATGCTGCTGCTGTGTGTGTCAGGTGGCTCCTGATGCTGCTGCTGTGTGTGTCAGGTGGCTCCTGATGCTGCTGCTGTGTGTGTCAGGTGGCTCCTGATGCTGCTGCTGTGTGTGTCAGGTGGCTCCTGATGCTGCTGCTGTGTGTGTCAGGTGGCTCCTGATGCTGCTGCTGTGTGTGTCAGGTGGCTCCTGATGCTGCTGCTGTGTGTGTCAGGTGGCTCCTGATGCTGCTGCTGTGTGTGTCAGGTGGCTCCTGATGCTGCTGCTGTGTGTGTCAGGTGGCTCCTGATGCTGCTGCTGTGTGTGTCAGGTGGCTCCTGATGCTGCTGCTGTGTGTGTCAGGTGGCTCCTGATGCTGCTGCTGTGTGTGTCAGGTGGCTCCTGATGCTGCTGCTGTGTGTGTCAGGTGGCTCCTGATGCTGCTGCTGTGTGTGTCAGGTGGCTCCTGATGCTGCTGCTGTGTGTGTCAGGTGGCTCCTGATGCTGCTGCTGTGTGTGTCAGGTGGCTCCTGATGCTGCTGCTGTGTGTGTCAGGTGGCTCCTGATGCTGCTGCTGTGTGTGTCAGGTGGCTCCTGATGCTGCTGCTGTGTGTGTCAGGTGGCTCCTGATGCTGCTGCTGTGTGTGTCAGGTGGCTCCTGATGCTGCTGCTGTGTGTGTCAGGTGGCTCCTGATGCTGCTGCTGTGTGTGTCAGGTGGCTCCTGATGCTGCTGCTGTGTGTGTCAGGTGGCTCCTGATGCTGCTGCTGTGTGTGTCAGGTGGCTCCTGATGCTGCTGCTGTGTGTGTCAGGTGGCTCCTGATGCTGCTGCTGTGTGTGTCAGGTGGCTCCTGATGCTGCTGCTGTGTGTGTCAGGTGGCTCCTGATGCTGCTGCTGTGTGTGTCAGGTGGCTCCTGATGCTGCTGCTGTGTGTGTCAGGTGGCTCCTGATGCTGCTGCTGTGTGTGTCAGGTGGCTCCTGATGCCACCTGGCACTTTGCTGTGTCAGGTGGCAGAAGACAAACATAAAGCGATGAAGTCCTCAAAAGCGTTCAGTGATTCCTGAACACCCCAGGGAGGCTAACCCTGACACACCAGGGCAGTACTCAGAGCAGCCAGGGAAGGTCACCCTAGGTTCATGCTGCTCCTGTGCACTATAACACCTGGCCACCACACCACACACAGCAGGAACAGCCACACAGGGCAAACATCCAGAACAGGAATTTGAGACCAGCGGTGCCTGATCTGACCGACAGCACACTAGTTCAAGAACTGGCGTAGGTGTAGTGCGCTGCCGTCTCCACCTCCCCGGGGGGTGTGGGTGGGGTGGGGGGTAGCTGTTACAAGCAGGAGTGCTAGTTGCATGAAGTGTTGCTTGTTGGGGTTCTTTCTAGGAGAGTTATTTTGATCTTTTCGGATGTAGATTGCACAGGTTAACCAGATAGTGGTCTGTTTTGATTTGCCAATCTTTCTGCGTCCTCCGGTTGATAGCAATTATGACACTCTAAATGTAAAGTGATCATAGGCCACTGCTCCCTGTGCCCGAGCCAGGTTCTGGGCTGTGGTCCCCGGTAGGCATAAAGACTCCTGTGACTGATGACCCCAAACTAATATATCACATGTCATTTCAGATAGCGTCAGGGAGCCTCCGGGACTTGCCTGGAAAATGGCATTTCATTACATTCAATGTGGGCTTTTCTTATCTTCTAATTTGGACATCCAATGTTTTCTGCTTTTCATCTTGGCCTATGTTTCTTAGTTATGGAAGTTATTTTCTTGCACGACTTTAAACGCAGGCGATGAGTCGCAATAACGTGGCTGAAATATGTTGACCAGACCACACACTAAAAAGTGAAGGGACGACGATGTTTCGGTCCGTCCTGGACCATTCTCAAGTCGACCACAATAGACTTGAGAATGGTCCAGGACGGACTGAAACGTCGTTGTCCCTTCACTTTCTAGTGTGTGGTCTGGTCGACTTTAAACGTTTTCCGTCTATACTTGTATTCCGTATTCCAGTTTTGGTATGACATGAGTAATAAATAATAGAGAGAAAATTAAGCATTTCTCCATCCATGTATAGTACAGGCAGTCTCTGCTTGGTATGTTACTAGGAAATGAGGATTTGAAAATACAGCACGTATAGTAAAAGGTGTTCCCCCTAATGAATGAACTGCTGACTAATCAACACTCGATCTTATGGATGGCATACCAAATCCCTGATTTTACATTTGGTTTTGCTACTTGAACCAGCCTGGTTGATCAGACCAACTAGAAGACCTAGTCAGAGACCGGCTGCGGGGACGTTGATCCTCGAAATCATTGACAGGTATATGACGGGTAATGAAGAGGTGACTGTGGAGTGCTACAAAAATGTCCACATAACCCATAACTCGCATAATCCATGTGGCTTACCTAAACTTGCCCAACAATCAGTGTCTTGTGTTCTTGTGTCAAGCATGTACCTACTGTACATTCTGTGAACTTGCAAATGTTTATGAAGAAAGCTATTATTAATAACTGGTAAGTAGGTAGTGGTGTTGAAACACCAGGAGCAAGGAAGAGGTGACCCATTACTATAGAAAGGAAGCTGTGTATAGATAATCAATTGCTCTGGGAAGAAAGATAACACCAACATAAATTATATATGTTCAAACTGGGTATTATAATTCAGCAGGAAGAGAAACTTGTGTGTGCTCCACATGGCATTTATTACAACAACCACAAACAATGACATCACCAGGTATAGGTTACATGACTTACTATTTACAATGCATTTAAAAGGTAAAAGAGCATCTGCTCAAAATATTATGCACCTAATCTATGTAGTATTTAATCCTACAAAATACCTTTAATCCTAACACTGGGGTGTAAGAAAAAGTCCTTGAAAATTTGGATCGGATTCGGGTGGTAGATATCCACTGTGTGACAGGTTGAACTAGAGATTTCGCTCTGTAATCTTTGCCTATAGAGCATGAGAAAAAGGGTATAAATGTTATCTCTGTTAAATTTGCTTGGAAAGAGTTCTGGAATTACCACTCGTATCGAGGACAAGTCTCAAGTTTTAGCAATCTGCGGTAGCCAGTGACTTCTGAAGATGATCCACCAATTTGTGTATGCATCATCTCTTTCTGATGCCTCTTCCTTTACCAATTAGATCCCTTCCTTCTTCCAAATGCATAGTCAGACAAGAGTAGCAGGTCAACCCATCATTCAAGATAGAGTAAAAACATTTTATTTTTATTTATCATTTTTCCAGATCATTTCTGTGGGGGAGCCCCGGAGGCTTCCAGGAGCTATAGGACTGATGTACGCTATATTAGTACATCTTATGGATGGCATATTTCAGTCAATGGAGTCCTGCCTATTGGTGACCACAGGCAAAACCTGGCCCCCCTCAAAGATGAACAGGGAGCAATAGCTTAAGGAGACCTCCCCCTTGTGTTTGGGGGGTATTCCTTGTCTGCCATTGACTGAGGTTAGGCACACAGAAAAGTAGGCACCTCAAAACAAACCCCACATGGTAGAAACTTAAAAAACAAAAAAAAAAACAAAAGACTGAAAAGAGAAATAGAACTCCCCAAAAGAAAACAAAGGAAACCAGCAAACGAGCAATTGTCA